CGATATATATAAGGTTCCCAAAAACGCAGAGGGAACGAAACTATATTAAAAGAGGGTAAATGAATATAATGCTGTTACGGTGTTGACTGCAATCCTCTCTTGTCTAGTGATTAACTAGTGAACAATCGGCGAAATTCCATTCTGAAAGATATCAATAAAGGATTATGGTGATGAGTGCTAGTTTTTTTGCAGATTCTACGAGATGTATGGCATCGCTGGTGTCATTGGGTACATTGACTGCATCCACATAGCCATCATAAGACCAACTGATAATGAAGAAAGATTTTATAACAGAAAACATTTCCATTCCTTGTGCAAATGGTACCAATAATAAATTCTAATAGATATTATTAAACATGTGGTTGAATTAATTTTCGGTGAATTAATTAGTTCCCTTTCAGTACATAATTTACATTTTCGTAAAATAGATTCTTTATATATTTTTTTTTTCAGATTTGTAATAAGAGGAATAGAATTTTGAATGTAGATGCCCGTTATGGAGGAGCTACACATGATATAGTCCCATTTTGCCGCACTTAGAAGAAATAACAACATCCGAAGAGCAAGCCATTTTGCTTGGTGAGAAATTACATAATCTGCTTGGCGCATCCTGATTAATTATATCCTTATTCTTTTATTTGCTAATAAGAAAAGGTTAATAAAACAAAATTTACTTTAATAAATCTATAATAGTATGTATCTGAAGAAGAGGCCATTGACCAGTAGTAAGACACTGGGCTAGATTAGGTAAAATATGTTAATGAGTAACTCCTTGAATATTCTCAATGCCTTTTTTATCGTTTACCCATTACGGCCATATTTATTAATCTCAGTGAAGACTCCCGCAGAGAATTCGCCCGAGGCTTTGTATAATACGGTACAAAAGGAAACCCGTACGATGATCGAGCGAACTTTCGGTATTTTAAAGCGCAAGTGGAGACGTCTTTTGGCGGCTCGAGAGCTCCACTATCACCCTGAGATAGCGGGTAAGATAATATTAGCGTGTACGGTTTTACACAATATGTGCATGGACGAAGGGTTGGACGTGCTGGAACTCACTAATAGAGCTGCAAGAGGAAGCTAGTCGGCAGGAGGAAATAATAAGACGTACCAGGTCCAAAACCATGGGCCTCCAAGAAGGTCGGCGAGTACGTCAACGAATGATTACTCTACTAAGTAATCGAAATTAAAGAATTTATAATTGTAACTCGCCTGTCTCTGAAGTTGCAAAACTACAGAGGTAGTCGGACCGGTGCGACTAGGACCATTTCACAAAAGTGGAGAAGAGCAAGTCCACCAGCCGTAACCTGTGTGGCACAGCACCGACAGGACCGAACTTCTTGCTGCGTTCCAGCTTGCTATTGTACCTGTCGCGACCGTATTACTCAAGTCTGAGGTGATAGTGGTGTTCATCAGACGTAAAACTAAATACGCCTAGAGCGGTTGGAGTCTCGCAACAACGTGAATTTTAAGCATTCATGACGGTGAAATACGTACGAAAAATTTGCAAATAATAATAACAATAAATAAATAAAATTCATTTATTCAGACAACTAGATCCACATTTTGTTAGTATTTTACTTATGACTACGTTAGAATACATATTTTACACTAGACAAAGTATTATTAATTAAGTGTTGCATTATTGAGCACTCACATCTTATCGTCATCAGAAGGCTGTTAGTGCTGCCACGTATTCTGGTCAAAAGCGAAGCCATCTTCTTTCGCAACACAGCATTAGCATGGTGGACGCACTGCAGAAACGTGCCAGCCCCAACAGCGCCCTGAAGGCATTGTTGTACTGGACGCGCAGCCTACCAAGCGAGCGCTGCGAACAGCTCGACCACAGCGCACCCGCGTACAGCGAAGTGCAGTATGCTCTGAATAGCGTTGTTTGACTGCGGCTGTACACCGAGTGAATCTGCGCGCCAGCATGTTCGCCCGCACCGCCAGCGCCCTGCGTTCCCGTTAAACATCTACGTCATCCTTTAAGTTGTCAGTCAAATAGTGGCCTAGATATTTAAACTGACTAACTCTGCTAATTGGAGCTCCATTTAACAAAACAGGAAGTGTCATATCCGGATCCTTCCTGCCCGGGGCCTTAAACACCATGTATACTGTTTTATTTGTGTTATAAGCAAGCCCATGGGAGATAGCGTATCTTTCACATATGCTAAGCAGTTCACTGAGTGCACCGATCCATGGCGCCAACAGCACCATGTCGTCGGCGTAGCTGATGTTATTTAAGCTAACCCCGTCTATAAAACAACCCGCATGAGTGCCGCTAAGCTCCTCGATCAGCGTATTCATGTACAAATTAAATAACTTAGGGGAGGTCAACCCCCCTGCCTTTCTCCACATTCCAGCACATACGGTGAAGACAGTACACCCGCCCACCTCACAACATTAATTTGATTATTATACCAATATTGAAAAATATTTAAAAGGTCACTTGGCAACCCGGTCGACCTCAATTTGCTCCAGAGGATGTCGTAATTAACTGGTTAAAAGGTCGAATGCCTGAGAAAGGTCTAGAAAACAACTGAAAATCGCTGTTTGCCTATCAGTGTAATACTTGACAGTATGCTTCAACACCACAATGGCGCTCTCAGTGGATAACCCAGGTCGGAAGCCGAACTGGGCATCGTGTAAATGCAGATGTTCGTCCAGGTGTGAGTTGAGCACACCGTCAAGCACCTTGGCTACGATTGTCGCTAGAGAAATGGGCTTGTAATTCGACCTGCTAGATACGTCACCTGTCCTATTTTTCACTATAGGCACTACTAAAGTACGCATAAGTGATGGCGGTAGGTATGAATGACTCAAACACAGGTTATAAAGTAATGCTAGTACTCTGGGCAAGTGCACTCCCGCATTCCGTAGGTGCTCTATACTCAGACCGTCATGCCCCGGCGATTTCCCTTTTTTCATTTCTCGTAATGCCACACGAATGTCTTCCGCTTTGATCAGAGTAGGAACCGTTCCATTAAGGTGCTCAATACCCGACACATGCTGTGACGGTCCCAGTGGCGATTTGACTTTGAAATGGTCCTTAAAAAGGTTGGCTATATTCTGTGCCTGAGTCACACCATCCAAAAAAATCAAAATATAATAATTTTTTCTGATCTAGTACAGTGGGCATCATTAATAGAAATGGCAAAAAAACACAATGATTCAATGCGAACTGCTCCACTGATAAACATTAACACCCTTCAATATCAAGATAGAAACAGAACAAGACCTAATTACGAAGAACACCACATCGTAAAATATTTGTACTTATCAGAATATTATGAGTATTTTAATATAACGAATATATATTAAAACTAATGACAGTCTGTCTACCGTGCCGTGACCATAAAGGGTCCGCATCGTTGGTTTGTTCCGGAATTAAAATTAAATTAAATCCGGTAACATAGTTTCATTTCCTAATTTTTTTTAAAGAAACTACAAATATTTGATTATCGTCTTTTTAAATGGAATTACGTCTATTTGCCAAGTTTTATTGAAATCGATAAACGAAAAGTGCGCCAAACCCGATTAATCTCATAGTTTACCACCCTTAGAGGTGGAATATTTCCTTCAAATTTAAATGGGACCAATATACTGAGATACCATCTTTCCAACTATAGAGAATTATCAAAATAGTTTCACAAATAATCGCGTAACATGTCAAAAAATTAAAGAAAAATGGAATTGAGAACCTCTATGTTTAAAGTTGGTTAAAAAGAAAACAATAAGTATTATTATTAACTTCACTTTGTACATCTCTGGTAAATGGTCACAAAATTAAATATATGCTGTTACAGTAAGTAGTAAATACAAAAGTTGGTGGCCTGTAGTTGAACAATTTTGACATATATCATTATATAAACTATAGTAGGTACTATAATTGAACCATGGATGTTTCTAACTGAAATATAAACATCTTAAATGTTTCAAACAGTTCATGTTGACTGTACCCTTAACATTACTATTTAGTCGTATAAATAATAAACACTCTGCTGTACAAAGTATATCACAAAAATAATTAACTATTATTATTTTTCTATCTTTATCAAATCACAGGAGAATTATAATAAAATAATGTCTTATTTCTAATAATCTCAGTACAGAGTACTAAAAAAACCGAGAGAAAAACGCCTTGAATGGGAGAAATAGCAAAATCAACCATTAAAGTAATTGCCTTAGTTAGGCGCTATTATTATAAAAATGAATCTTCGTGCCTGAGCAGCCACCCTTCGAGGTGGATGATTTTCTTCAAAATGAAATAGGCCACTATGGAAGTACCCCCTTTCCAACAAAAAAAGAATCATGAAAATTGATTCACAAATACCGGAGTTATCGCGTAACATACATACAAAAAAAAGAACATACAGTCGAATTGAGAACCTCCTCCTTTTTTGAAGTCGGTTAAAAAAGGATCAGTCACAAACTCACTGATGAATAATATTACAACGTAGTACACTACTTAAGTTGGTAAACATATTAAACGGTTTGTCACTTATCTTCTAGTAACTACAAAAATTAAAATAATCATGTTTACATTGTTTTAAATAACATAAAAAAAATATTTTCATCTTGCGGCGATTGGAATTCCTTTAGACACTTCATCAATCGCCTTCAATACATCATCATTCATGTTCAGACACTACTGAAACTACCCAAAAAAAACATGTAACTTTGCAGCATTGCTAGAACAAGAATAATCGTCTTGCATGATGCTTCATCGCCAAAAGCAGTTTGAAGCCGAGGGAACCTCCGCTGAGCTGTTAAAGTCGTAGAAAATCATACTACGAACATTTTAACGAGTTAAAACCATAGTGATGTAGACAACCTATTTCTAAAATGACGCCACAATGAAAAAACAAGTGACAGTCAGATGACACAAACTGTATTCTACAGCCAAAGAGTTCCATTTTCAAATTACTTTTTAAATATTGTTTATGTTAGTGGCCAGTTCCGGAAACTTATAGTGCGCCCTATGTTTAGTTAATGGGGAATAATATACATATTAATGTCGAGTATTATTATTAATTCGGCGCAACTCTTTAAGTGCCGAAACGACCACATCAGTTAATTTTTCAAGTTGTGCCCGAATTGCTGCCAATTCCTGTTTCTTCTCCTCTTCAATACGAAAAATCCTTGTGTGCACATCCTCCGACAGAGCTTGCGGGCGCTGGGTACGTGTTAATCGCAACCTACGCCTGCGTCCCCTTTCTGTTCAACAAATATTTAATAATTAAGATTTGATTATTACTTTAAATTTAATATTGGCAATGACAACTACATTGTTCACAAAAAAGAATTGCGTGAGCTCATTGACTTACAAATAAATGGACGACGGGTCTAATACAAAAACCACGAAAAAAATGTCCCAAGTCAACCTATTTAAACGTAGTGACATGTAAAGGAATATGAAAAAGCTAAAACGTTTAATTTAAATTGTAATGTCATCGCAGTACTGTCTAATTTTGCTTGCTTCGCTGTCAGTCGAACAAACGAAGACTAAAGCGTGAATGACGCTCTGTATACGATTTTAACGCCCTATAAGTTCGGAAACTTTTTAGCGCGGACCCGACGTCCATATAATTGTAAGTCAATGCGTGAGCTTAAACATTTTTGTATGTAAATTTTGTTCTAATATTGATATAAAAAATATTCTTACGTGTCGAAGAAATGCTCGCACGGACTGTTGGATTTCCCCCTTCGCTAGGTTTTCGCAATGCTGCAAAGTTATGGAAACTTAATATTAATTATTATTCAGTAATAAGATACTTAAAATGTCTAAGTAAGACATTAAAATTATATCCGATTACAAAAAATAATCTTACGCGTAGAAGAACTGCTGGCACTGACAGTGGGCTTTCTCACGTCGCTAGGTTCAGGCACTGCAGCAAAGTTATGAAAACTTACTATTAATTATTATTAAGTAGCAGGTTACTAAATATGTATAAGTAAGACATTAAAATTAAAAATATATCAGATTTTAAAATAAATAGTAGATAACTATTGATGTAACAACTTACGAGGCACAACTTGCTGTGCTGAGAATGACTGTCGCTGCGAATACCCAGTCAATGGATTATCAAGACAAATAAAATTTAGTTAGAAAATAAGTATTTCATTTTTACATAGATTACACTTAGAACTATATTGATAGTTATGTTTTATTGTATGTAATAATGTTTACATACCAAAACTCTGGAGACTGTCGTCAGACTCTGACTCCACTTCACCATCGTTACGTTCCAAAGAAATGCGGTGAGGAGACTTAGCCTTGTTTGACTCCTGGAAATTAAAAATAAACATATTATATTGGTATACCCTATGAAGCTACAAAGGAACTTCATGACAAACGTAACATTCACATCATGACAAACATAAAAAATTACTAATAATTACACTTAATTTACTATAATGAAAATAAAACTACAAATATAAAATATCACACATACCCTTGGAAAAGGGTCGGTAATTGCCTCTGTATCAGGCAAGCCACAACCCTCACCCATAATATTCAGGATCTGGTGATCCTGCCGTGTTAATTGATCATTCGAGGGACCACCACCCGTGGCATTGTCTGAGCGGCTTGCAAGAGCTGCAGCTTTTTTGGCCAGATACTTTTTATCTGACCACACCTACAAAGACAACGGAGTGAGACATTAGTATTTGAAACTGGTATGGAATTCTAAAGATAATTAAATAAAAATAAATTGTGATAATTGCGTAATCCAAAAAACATGTCCATCATAACTATTAAATAAAATCTATCTATGACAATAGTTTAAGTACTGACTTACCTTTTGCCACTGTTTGGTAGTTTTTACCGCTCCTCCAACGGCATTGAGGAGCTTTGTAACATCTGCCCACAAAGTTTTGCCCAATATTCTCCCCTCAATAGACCGTTGGAGACGGTTCCGGGCCAAATCTAAATGGTCGCCCATGAAATCCATTAATAATTTCATCTGCTCGGCAGTCGCGCTGGACGTCATTTCAGAGACTATCGTACTAAAGAGAACACAGGAGAATATCAAACAAGGTTTTAAATACGAATTACTTCTGAATCAAAATATTTCTTTGTGAAAATGTTTATCTCTTATCCCCATCATAATCAATTATAAGTTTGACTGCTGAGCACGCGTCTCCTCTAAGAAGAGGGTTTAGGCTATAGTCCGCGACGCTGGCCCAATGCGGGTAGGGACTTGACATGATTGCCGAGGGTTATGTTCTTCAACGTGCAGGTTTCATTACGATGTTTTCCTTCACCGAAGAGCTCACGATAAATTTTAAATTAAATTACGCACATACGTAAATTATGTGAAACTCAAAGGTGCAAGCCCTGATTCCAACTCACGGTCTCTTCTATAATTACGTATAAATTCCTTATGTAGTTGTTTTTTAGATTATTTCCTCTTAGGAACTCTGTTTTTAAAACAAACTTTTAAATCAATTTTTGTACGAACTGCAGTCAGTAAAACGGATACTTCTGACATTAACGTTCACATTGAGAGTCACAAATTAAAAATAGCAAGTGACTTCAAAAAAAAAACGATATATAAAGAAACATGCTTTTATTTATTTTATTATTTCTAAAATTAAATTGAAGAGTTAATGATTCACTTAAATCTAATATTAATTTTATACCAATGCAAATAGCTTACTCTATTTGGGATATTTCTTTCTAATATCAATCTTGAGGTTGGAAATACATAGAGATCGTCAGATTTATAGTATAAAATTTTCTCTTTTTTAATATACTCTCAAATACATTTTTTTCTGGAACAAATCCATTTTTTGTAATATTTGAGCATTTATAAATGCAAAATAATAAATTCAAAATCTCACATGACATTCCCGGATATTCCCATAAGAAATAAAATATTCGCAAATGGAATATTGATCGGCTTTAATTAAACGTTTGCAAGTCGATAATGACTTTTCGATAGATTATGGTACAACACTAAAGAAATCCGCCATTCGTTCACTTCAATTTTTGTTTAAATGTAAATGCATGTAAAAAACCTATTTCACCATTCACATTTTACATTCACGTTATCGGTCCGTTATTATCTATGAGATCCGAAGCCCAAAACGAAAGCGTTTTGGCTAACGAACTGCGGACGGCTCACGTATCGTTTTGCATTCGTACGCAGCTGCGGTTGTGTATTTTGAGAGTAGACGTCAAAATAAACATATCTCTTTAATTAAATCAACGTATTTCACTATAGCATCTACGTCCATCCTAATAATATGAGAGATTTCTCTTTTAAGGCCTCCTTGTTTGAGACTACGCTCTCGAAAAAGGTGACCCCAAGGTGCGCCTACGCGAAGTAACTGCAACCTATCTACCTACATATTAAAGAGGGACCATGCCAAAGCACTGAAATTAAAATACGGGTACAATTTCCCGCAGAGCATCTCTTACAACTTCACAAACACGATTTTAACTTGAGAATTTGCATAATCTGTCCAAAACTTGAAACGGGATTGATGAGCATATGCTCAGACGGTAAGTTTGTAAACTAACTGCCTTGTCGAGTCACGGAGAGAGTTGAGAAGTGATGTTACATCTGTCAAAGTAAATTGTTTCTTGTGAATATACACTTAAAATGAGTCGCTGAAACGCTCTTGGCCTTAATTTATTTGGCAAAATTTTATTTTAGCGAAAAAACTAAATTGTTACGTAAAAATAGCTATAAAAATTTGAAAGATATTCACCAAAACATTTATAGAGGTATGTTTTTTACTCGCCTTTGTAGTTCGACTTTAACGCCTTTTCTTCGCAGTACTATTTTTTTATAATATCAAGAACAGGACGAACAAGTCGTGCGTCCGGTGGTAAGCTACAGGCCTGTCCATAACAGTTGCAGTGCCACTCAGAGCTTGAAATCGCAAAGATCTGAGGGCACTGCTACGGCACTCGTCACCCTGAGACATAAGTTGACAAGTCCTATGTGACTGTAATTTCACCAGCACCCTTCAAAACCGGAACAGACCGGGACATACTACTCTGGACGTATTCTTTCACAATGAGCTCCGGTGCTACTTATATATTACTAATGCTTATAATATCGTATAATATATAATATATATACAGTGGTGGTCGTATAATTAGAAAGACTACAAACGGTCCTTGACATTATGTAAGAAACTTCACCGCAATCGTTTTTATTTGAAATTAAACAATAAATAGGACAACAATAGGTTCAGCGATTTATTATTTATTAGAAAAACAATATAAATCCCACTAAACAAGTGCAGTTTCAATATTACATTACGGACAAACACTTAAATCAGTTTTAAGGTATAAACAATAATGGACAACTAATTAGAAACAACAATAAAAAAGTGTAAAAAAACAACATTTTTTTAATTATTAGCAAATAGTATTTTTATTTACGAAATAGCTACTATCCACAGCCTACCAATATTTATAATTAATATTTAGTGGCGTATCCCTTATTTTCAATAACAGCTCTGTAACGGCGTGACATTGATTCAATCAATGTCTCACATTTTTCTAGGGGGATTGAATTCCATGCTTCAACAAATGCTTCATTTCATATAATTCGTTTTGACTGGTGTTACGTTTGTTTGAGACTGTCTTCTTAACAATATACCACAGATTTTCTATCGGGTTTAAATCCGGACTATTTGCTGGCCAGTCTAAAACTAGTTCTTCCAAACAATTTAGCTTCCACTAATCTTCGGCGTATCAGTCTTGATGAGAAGTTTCTGGGGTCATCAGGCGAAAAAATTTCATTTTTAATCTGGTTTAAGCCTTTAAATGGGTCTTTTTTAGCAACATGAATGATTAGCTTATCTTCTCTGGGAGAGGTTTTTCTTGGCCGAGCCTTTCTAAGAACATTTTCAACAGTTCCATGTGTTTTATAGTGATCAATTGCATTAAAAACTTTCTTCACAGAACAATTTAAATGCTCAGCTATTCTTCTGTACGTCCACTTTTGATCTAAATGTAAATTAACAATTATTTGCCTAGCGTCAACTAGGCAAATAATTGTCACAACTTTTATTTTTGCCCATTTTGAACAAAATTAAATTCAGATCTAATTTTGAATTGCCGCCAAATTAATAGAAAACATCATGAAAGAAATGTTATTCTTCAATTTCAAAAAAAGAACGAGCTATAGATGCTTTTTTCAAAAGTTTCTAATTAGACGTCCAAGTGGCCAGGAACAGAAAATATACTCGTACATTGTGTAAGACTCATTTTATAATTAAATGTAAGATATGTTTTATTTTTTATGCATTTAATGATTTTTTATTTGAGTGGCTATATTATTGCATGATTATTTATTATTGAATTTATATATTTTTCACGAACATTTGTACGTTGAAGTTAAACTTCCTTCAATCATAAGAAGTGTTTCTAATTAAACGACCACCACTGTATATATGTACCATATATAAATATATATGGTCTTAATATAGACTTATGTATTATGTATGTATTGGCTGTAAGAGGCTGACGGTTTCCTTTAATAAATAAAATAAAAAAATATATATAATTAAAATCAAGAACAAAGTTTGTAAAATTTTCTTAATGTTCAAATTTGGAAAGGCATGTGTTAAGGAAAGAAAGAGACAAACATATTAGCAACAGGCAAAAGACAGAAGACATAAAATGAGCAAACATATTAAATTTTCAGGTAAATGGATGGTCACTCACCTTTTACAGTATATGTTATTTCTTCAATTTTCTAAACCACAACCTTTTAACACAACTTTCTACAAGCGATATGTTGAGCTCACACGGAAGACTACAGTACTACCAACAACACATTTTAACAACAACAATTTACTGTCTTTACCAACTATTTTTAACACTTTACAAAACAAATGTAAGAAACTTTTATCAACGGTAACAATATAAGAGTTATTTCAAAAACAGTTTTTATTGAATAAATGAATGATTTCATTCATAATTTGACAAAAAATAGATTTTATTTTAGCGGAAAATTCGCTCAACATTTGTTATTTTGACGTCTGTGGTGGTGTTGACAAAAGGATGATTTTTATTCCCAATTTTCAAAATAATTGGGTAAAAATTATGTCACCGCTAAAATGATTATTAACGTGACTGTTATATTTTGCTGATTAATGGGTAAAATAATTAACGGTCACTTTCAAGCTTTGGAACAAAAAAATCTTTTAAAGTACACTTTGTAGCTTTATATTTTATTCACCAATATTAGGTTGAAAATACGATAAATATTATATATACGACCATAAAGTTCAGGCTTTATTTAGTAACATGTTGTCTCTACTTTTGCTTTGACAATAGTGGACCACATTATAGTTGAAAAGAATAATAATTTTAAGAATGTCTGCAACTCACCGTAAATGTGAACTAGTTAGTTTAATGGATATTTAAAGTTAAGGTTAAGAGTTTTCCTTCTCAATGCTTGAAGCAAGAGGAAATGAGGGTAAATGAATAATATTTTCGCAACGCTGTAAATATGAATTGGGGATAATTTATATTATCCCAATTTTAAAGCAAAGAAATTAGCAACAAAATGGCAACCCTGCGGCGACGCATGCGCGGTCAACTTCCGGGCTGCCACCAGATGTTAGAGTTTTGGCGCTTTTATTGATCCATGTGAGTTAATATTGGGTTAAGCCGGCCACTAATAGGTTAGTAAATATTAATATAATCATGATTGGAAACATTTGTTGACTGTTCACGGAGACCCATGACATTACCGTGAACCTAATAAGGTTTGATACAGTGCAGAGCAACACAGACTGTATAAAAAATATACCGCGTCGGTGTTTTGTGGAAAGGGCGAAAGCGCCTTTTCGAAAAATATTTCAGGGTAGCGTTTTAGTGTTTTAGTTTTTCCCGACTGTTTTAAAATATTTACGTCTTGTTTTAAACAAAATTGAATTTTAAAACAGGACGTATATATTTTAAAAACTAAGACATGCACCCCTGACTTTTTTTTCCAACCAAACGTCGATGCGCGAATGA